GGCAGAGGTCCTGTCTGGGCAGCTCTGGGACTTGGGCAGGGAGGTTGAAGGGGCCCAGCTGGTCTAGGAGGGGAAAAAAAAAAAAACAAAAACATGAGACCACAGGTGGCCAGTTGTGTGGTGGCAGCCCCCCAGGGTCCTGTCAGAGCCTAGACCTTGTAGTTCCCTCCCCAGCCTAAGGCAGGCCACTCCAGGATGAAGCTGAATAATCAGTTTGCACTGGTGGAACAGGTCACAAGGCCACTGTCACAGAAGCATGGGAGGGACATTGAGCTCCACAAGAACTCCAACTGCCACCCCCTTCATGTCACCCCAGACCAAGCTCTAAAATCAGATTCCCCTTTCATCTCTGGAGGGAGCTCTAGTAGGCTCTGCTGGGGCTGCAAGTGGCCTGGGCCCAGTCAACTTTCACAGCCTGGGCTGGCATGTGAGCCCTGCCCAAAGCCTGGGACAGGTGGTCTGACCAGCACCCAGTCCCCATGCCTGAGCCAAGGGCCAGGACTGTGCCTTCCCACACCCCTCTGGGGTGTGTGCGTGCTGAGCTGCAGGAGTTGGGTCTGCTCCACAAAGAGACCTTTGTGTGCCTGCTGCGCCCTGCACGGGTGCCTGAGCTGCGGGAGAGAGCAGGGTCGTGCCTCTGGGGCTGCAGGGGGTGTGGAGGGGGCTGGCTGGCCCAGAAAACAAATCCAGCGTGTCGCGTTTCCTGCAACGTGAGCCTGGACGGGCGGGGTGCAGAGGGTCCGAGGCCACCTCGAGGACGCACAGCCCGGGAGGATGGGGCTCAGGGCAGCCCCCACCACCTTGGGTCCTTCTCCGGAGCTGGGCTTAGCTGGGGGCATCCGCAATGGGCTGAGTTGTCACCTGAGCCCGCCTTGCTGCCCCTGAAACCAGAGACTTGTGCGTGGGTGTTGGTGTAGTTTACGAGGATGGCGATGGTTTCCAGATGCAGGAGGGAAAGGAGGGGACGCGACCCGGAACTCAGGAGCCAAATAAGACCGCCAGCGGTCAGACCCTCATCCTGTCTCTGGCAAATGAGAGGGGCCTGAAGGTCGGGGTGCCAGGACCATGTTCAGGGAGAAAGGTCCAGGGGGCGGGGCCACACCTGGCCGGTGCGACCGGTGCAGCATACCCGCCAGGTGTGGAGGAGCAGTTGGGCTTCGGTGGCATCCCTGACTGCTGGGGGGGTTCGGCCTGGGATTGGCGGGTCCTAGGTGATGTCAGGCCGACAGAGCCCATAGGCCAGCCGCGACCGGGCGGGCGCGGGCCGGGCTGTAACCTGAGAGGAAGGATCAGGTAACGCAGGTGTCGGATCCTTGCTGCCCCCGCCGCCAGGTGCACAGCGGGGGCCACCGGCACAGTCGCAGGTAGGAACAAACTCGGAGCCTGTCGGCCCGGAACCCTGGGCAAGCAGGAATCTAACAGGGCACCGGCTCTGGGCAGGGCTCCCTAGGGGCCGAAACCCCCCTAGGACGCGCGGTTGGCTGTAGGGTGCGGCCCGGGCCACAGGGCCACTAAGCTGAGAGCTGCTATCCCTTCTCCGGCTCCCCCTGGCGTCAGGGCTGGGCCACCCCGCCCCTGGACCCGCCCCTTCTGGCCTCAGTGGGGGCCCCTGTGCCCTTGGCCTCCGCCCAGAACCCCTCCCTGTAGAGCCGGTCCAGGCTTCCCTTCCACCGAGGCCCTCTTGACCCTAGCCCGGTGTTGCCCTGAGAACAGGGGGATCTAGGGACTCGGCGGCTGCACCACTCGACGGCTGCTGGCCGTGAGCCCGGGAGAGAAGAGCTGGGGAAGGGGGCGTTGCGGGGTGTTGGGGACAAGTGGTCAAAGCCCATCGGTCTTCCCGCAGCCGAGCTCCCGCGACCACCACAACGGGCTGCGGAGGCAGGACTCCGGCCGCAAGTCCCGGACCTTCATCAAGCAGCCCAGCACGGGGGACTACTACCGCCAGCTGGGCCGCTGCACCGGGGAGCCGCTGGCAGCACGCCCGGGCATGGCGCACAGCGAGGAGGTGCGTGCCCTCCAGCCCGCACCCGCCGGCCGCCCTGGATCCGGCCCTGCAGCCCGCGCCTCACTAGCCAGCCCCTCCGCTCCCCCGCAGGCGGCTCTGCTCCCGGGGAACCACGTGCAAAACGGCTGCACCGCGGACTCTAAGCCGTCCAGGGAGCTGCCGCCACCGCCGCCGCCGCCGCCGCCGCCCCCGCCTGAGGCCCAGAGCTCGCTGCCGCCTGCCCCACCTCTGCCCTTGGAGGGTGCGGGCTCCGGCTGCGGGCAGCGCCGCTCCTCGTCGTCCACCGGCAGTGAGTAGGGGAGGGTTGCGGGTGGGGGCGGCGCCAGCCCCAGAGGGGGAGGGAAATCTAGACACCGCCCCCTCCCCAGTGCACCCGCGGGTCCGCCCTCGGTCCTCCCGCTTCTTCCCGAGGGCCCCCCCCCCACTGAAGACTTGACCCAAAGCAAAGGCTCTGAGTTACCTTCCCTCCTGCCAGAGCGGGACTGGGAAGTGTGGCCTCAGGCAGGTCCCCTCTCCTCTCCAGACCTCCTCCCTTCCTCTAAGGAAGACTCTCTGGTGGCTGGTGTTTCTGATGAACCCGTTTTACGGGTAGCCATGAGCGGACTAGTTTCAGGAGGCAGGACTGCACATAGGCGTTCTTCCTGCCCCTGTCCATCCTCAGTTCCCCTCCACCTCTCCTCTGGTTCTTCCAAACTAGCGCAGACTTGAGTCCTGTCACCTACCCCAGGAATTCTTCCTGGTCAGATTCCCTGGCCCCTCATGTTTTCCCCTTCTCCCTCTGGCTCTCCCCCTGGGCAGCGTGTGTGGGTAAGCACACGCTCTACCATGAGCTACAAGGGCTCCTGGGCATCCTTTATTAAGAACTACTGGTGACCAGGATTCCTATCCTCTCTTCTGTAGGATGGGGCACTGCTCTGCCTGACAGGCTTCCTGGAAGGTGCCCCCAACCCAGACCAGCAGGTTGGCTTCCTCACCCAGTTACTCACTCAGTGCAGGGACCACGTTCAGTGGCCCCATCCTAAGCTTCATCTCTGACTAGGAGTGTGGTTCATATGGAGCCCCAGTCCATACAGCGTGGGCCATGGGAGCATGTCACTACTGGCTGAGCCTCCAGAATGTCCCCAGCCCACCCTACCTCTGCAGTCAGCTCCTCCGTTCTTCTGCATCCTGCAGCAAGGACAAGGAGAAATGGGGACAGGGGTGTAGCTCAGCGGTAGAGCTCTTGCCTGGCATGTGTGAGGCACTGGGTTTGACTCTGCACTACATATAAATAAATAAATATTTTTTAAAAAGAAGAAGAAATAGATTTTGGGCTGCCCCCGACACCCCTCCTATCAGAGCCTGGGCTGGGTGCCCTAGCCCAAGCGAATGCCAAGGCAGAGGCCTTGTGAACAGACCAGGGCCAGTGGTGACCCTGTGCAGCATTCAGGGAACTGGACATACCACCCTTATGGGGCCCCAGAGTGGACTGAGCCAGGGTCACAGGACAGGAAAGCTCCTCCTCTCTTCTCGTCCCTCCTGCCCTCCCTGGTCCTCTTGCTGTCCCCATCTTACCCTGGCCCCCTCTCCCTCCTAACTTTGCTGTCACTTCTCTTCTCTCGGTTCCTAGAAGTGAGAGTCCTGAGGCACAGGAAGAGTGAGTAGCTGCGCGCGGTTCCTGGCTGAGGCTGAGGCGAGGGTGGGGAGAAGGCTCACCAAGGAGAAACCAGACAGAACGGGCTGGGACTTGAGGAAAGGGCAGACCAGGGCCCAGTAGGCAAGGGGGGACCTCAATGTCACAGAGGGACTCTTGCACCCCACACCAACCCTCATACCCCCACCACACCCACATATGTGCCCAATCATTCTGTGCCTGGCTGACAGTTTTGCAAAAAAAAAAAAAAAAAGAAAAAGAAAGAAAGCAGACTGTATGCTTGTCTCTCTTTTCCTCTCCTTGTGATGCACTCTGGGATCCCCATCCCAGGCAGCCGAGAGCTTCTGGCCTGTTTTGTTCACCTCCACCCTCAGATCTGACCCCTTCCTCAGGGTTCCAAAATCCCCGTTCACCTCCACCAGCCACGTTGGAAAATGCAAACTCTGCCCAAGCATTTGCATGGCATCTGCCTGGCCCTTCTTCCTCAGTGCCCTCTCCCATGTCCTTAGTAAGCACCCCCTTCCAGGGTCCCCGGGAGCTGAGTAGTGTATTGCCATAAGTGTGCTTCCCGCTTGAGTCAGTGTATCTGCTCATCTGTGGGTGTGGGGACAGGGAGGGTGATCTGGCTAGGTGCCAGTACTCCAGGGTCCTGAGTCCTTAAGACTGTGGAAGCCCCAGCTGACTCAGTCCAAAGGTCACTGGGCTTTGCTGATGCAGGGAGAGGGCTGGAGAGAGACTCCACCCTGGTGGGGCTGAGCCAGGGAACCTGGGACAAAGGTCGGGTGGCTGGCCCCAGGTAGTGTTTTGGAGCTGACCGGCAGTGGCTGGGCGGAGACATACCAGAGTCCCCAGGGCCAGTCCAACAGCCACCATGAACTCCCAGGGGCCTCCAGGCGGGGCCTCTACGCCCCGTGAGTAGGGCCCAGAGAATGGTGGGGCTACCATGGGCTGGGAGCTGAGGGCCGACTTCTGGGTGCCCTGAAAGCTGCTTGAGGTACCCTGGGATCTAGAGGGCTACCTCTGGCCCCAGGGAGGGCCACACCTGTCCTGGTTTGGGATGGGGGCTGCAGAGAGAAAGGTGGAGGATGGTGGGGTCACAATCCTGCCCCCAATCAGTGATTCTCCTCCTGTGGGCAGGCACCAAGTCTTTCAACATGATGTCCCCAACGGGTGACAACTCAGAGCTACTGGCTGAGATCAAGGCAGGCAAGAGCCTGAAGCCAACACCGCAGAGCAAGGGGCTGACCACAGTGTTCTCAGGCAGCCGGCAGCCAGCAACCCAGGTAGGAGACTGACAAGTGCCCCTGCCCTGGCTCCCCTTGCCTGCCCAACACTCAGCCCCACTGCTTCTTCTTGCAGCATGACACACAGGTGCCACCTGTGTCACCTGCCCCATCTCGGGCCCGGAGCCCCACTCCACCAGCCGTGGGGCCTCAGCCACTGCTCAATGGCAGCATAGTGCCCGCACCACCCGCCACCCCTGCGCCAGGTGTGCAGCTCAATGTGGAAACGCTCGTCCCAGTACACGACGAGCAGGGCCGGCCCATCCCTGAGTGGAAGCGCCAAGTGATGGTGCGCAAGCTAATGGTGAAGATGCAGGAAGAGGAGGAGCAGAAGCGGAAGGTGGGTGGGGCAGGGTTCCCCAGAAAGCCTTGGGGTCTGCATTCAGCCTACAGTCCATTCCCTGTGCCACCTCTCCACCTGAAGGGGCCCTTCAGCCTCAGATAGTGCCCAATGCCTTTAGAGGAAAATGAGGTTGCAGAACCCCCCAGAACTGGTCCCAGTCTCTCTGCCCCAGCAGCTTGTTCTTAGAAGAAAGATGGCAATGTTTACCAAGCTCTCATGTGCCCTCCAATCACCTGGGACCTTGATATTCTGTTTCAGGTCATCTTGGGGGTGCTGAGATTCTGCATTTGTAACAAGCAACTAGGTGTGGCTGATGATGACACTGTCCAAGGACCACACTATGTGGTCTAGAGGGCTTTGGTCCCAGCCAAACTGACTTGGGCTCTGCTCAGCCCTGCCACTGTCCAGCTGCTGGCACTTAGCTTTGTCCAGTCTCAGTATGACATCTGTGAGATGGGCTAATTAACACTAGCTGATGATTACCATCATTCATGAAGCAAATGTTCCCTGAGTGCCATCTACATGGCACTCACACATGAAATCTGGGAATTTGTGGTGAATATCCAAGGCCTGCTTCCAAGGGAAGTGTGTGTGTGTATGTGTGTGTGTGTGCGTGTGTGTGCGCGCGCTTGTGCATATCAACAAGCAAATAAATGTCCCCAAGGAGACAAAACAGATGATGTGATAGAGTAACAACTGGGGATACAAAGCAGTGATCACATCTGGCACTGTGAGGCCTGGCCAGCTACCTGGAAGAGAATGGGCATTTTCCTGGAGCAGTGGGAAGCCTGGGGCTGGTGAGGCTGGCAGCTGCATCGTCATCCCTGTATGTGGGAAACTACAGTGGGTCAGGACGGATCAGGAGGCCTGTGGGGAGGCAAGGTCAGCCTCCAGCATGGAAAAGCTGGCCACAGAGAGCTGATCAAGAGGTAGAGGAAAGTGAGGAATAAATGAGAAGCATCCCAAATATTGTGTTAGTCCAGTGGGGTGCAGGAAGGGGTGGGAGTCACAGTGGGAGCTGCAGTAGAATGGTGTGGTCTCTCATTCAGCATGTAAAACTTTTCCACCCGATAGAGAGACCATAGGACACAGGAGAGCCTGAGAAGCATCAGTGGGCTAGCATGAGAGGCTTCTCTGGAATCTGGCTTGAAACTAGGGTTTGGATGGGGTTGTGAAGGGCCTCCTTGCCTCTCAGCTTCAAGGCCTTTCGCATGTTCCTTGAGTGGTGTAATGAGCAGCCAAGCCAGGCATGGAGATCCTCTCTGGCGGCCTGCCCTCCCTGCTTTGCAACAGCGACCAGCGACCAGGTGTGCCCCCACCATCAACCAAAGTGGACACTGTCCAGAGCCAGGAGCCGAAGCCTTTATGCAGTGTGATAGCCCGCCAGCTAGGCGTGGCCCATCCCTGCAAATGCAACCCTGCGAAGCCATTACACCACCCAGGACATGCAAAAGGTTCGCTGCGGGAGCTGGGCCAGAGGGAGACGCGCCTCCCTCCCCTCTCTTGTCTTCCCCGCCTTAGCTGACATCTGCTAGCTCCTGCTGCTACCCCCCGGAGGGCTGGAGGTACTCCCAGGAGCACAACGCCATCCTTGGGCCCTTCGGGGAGCTCATGACTGAGGCCGACATCCTCCGCATTGAGCAACAAATCGAGAACCTGCAGGTACTACACAAGGCTCAGAAGCTGGAAGCACGCCTGGAACAGCTGGAGCTGGAGCTGGAGCAACTGCTGCCCATCTCAGCCGCCCTGTCGGCTCCACGCTTCACCATTGACCCCCGCCGCATGCATGGCCGCGCCGCCAGCCTGCCTGCTTGGTGCAGCAAGATCTCCACGCTGCTCAAGAGCATGGCCACGCTACTGGCTGCACTGGGCGGACGGCCCGCACACCTGGCGGAGCTGCTGACAGCCGAGACTGGCCAGCCCCTGGAGCCGCTGCCTGATGCACCCTCAGGACCGGGGCCTCTTTGCTTGGGCCGCTCGCACTCTCTCAGCTGGTGCCGGGAGGCCGTGGCGCGCGAGATCCTTGAGTGCGGCGTTTCAGTGCAGCAACTCCGAGCCACCTATGAGCTGCGTGCCCAGGGCGCGGCGTCCACCAGCTGCCAGCACCATAAGTTCCCGCAGCCGGCCAGCACCCCAGACCGTGAGCCCATCCTGGAGGAGGACTACGTGGCTGCCGGCTCCGAAGAGCAGAGCGCTGCGGTGGCAAACGGACTACTGGACTCTGAAGAGCCCTTGGGTACCTTGGGCCTGCCTGAGGTGCAGGATCCCCAGGTGGCACTGCCAGAGCCCGAGCAGATGGCGCACAGGCCGCCACTCTCCGCTGAGCTGCCCGGCGTCCAGGACTACATCGACATGCGCAAAGAGCGCATCGTCTACCTTTTCCTGGAGCATTGGCGCAAGTGGACCTTCAGGAGTCCTGGGCGCCACACCCAGGTGCGTCTGCGCAAACTTCTGCCTCGCATTGTGGCAGCAGGCGCTGGCACTGTCCCAGATGAAGAGGGAGCCTCCCCGCCCCCGGAGGGCGACAATGAGGCCTACAGTCAGGATAAGCGGTTGCGGCACTTGCTGAAGCAGAGGCAAGTGGTGGGCAAGTTGCTGGGTCACTGGCGGAGTCTGCTACAGCAAGTACCCGCACGGCAACCACGAGGCCCAGGCCTGGCTCATGGCCTGTACTGGCCCCAGCACTTCCTGCCACCCCTGGACGGTGGCGCCCCTCGACACTACGACAGCCTCACGCTCGACCTCTTCATGCTTGGCTACTTCCAGCTGCTAGAGATGGGCCTCAGCCGCGAGGAGCGCAAGTTCCGCCACTTGCTGTGTTATGAGATGTTCGACCGGCTGGGCAGCCACCCGTGGGAGCTCATCCGCCTCTTCCACCGCGTAGTGATTGAGGAGGTGGAGGCCGGCAGGCGCAGCTGGAGCGACGGCTTCGAGGACCTCAGGTGCCAGTTCTTTGGAGACAGCCCAGAGGCTGAGCCGGCCAGGGAAGAAGAGAAGGAAACAGAGGAAGAGAAAGAAAAAGAGAAGGAGCCCCCCGAAGAGGCTGTGCCAGCTGACATGGAGGACCTGACAGAGGAGCAGCCAGAGGCCCCTGCCTCAGCACCACAGCCCCTTCCTGCCACCCATCCCCCCAACTCAGACCCATCTTGTCTCCCAGCCCCTGCTGAGGACCCTTTGGAGTTGGTGTCTGAGATGGGCGAGTTCAGCAATGAGGACATCTGTCGCTACATAGACCGTAGCTTCTCTTTCTGGAAAGAGAAGGAGGCAGAGATGTTTGACATCTGAGCACTGAGTTCAGAATTTACTCTTGAGCGTCTGAACGTGGGTCTGGATACCTGCATGATGCCCTCCAGAAGCCAGAAGCCAGCAGGGGCTGGAAGAACCCAGGACCAGTGAAAAGCTGCTTGCTCAGGACCAGGCTGCCTCAGCCTTCAAGGTCCCCTCCAGACAGGATATGGGGCATTTGCCTGTATACGCAAGGCATGGCACTTGACAAAGCTGGGTGTTCCCTCTAGCCCCATTGCTGAGCTCTGTGGGGAGCCAGGTAGCAGAATCAGTCCCTCAAAGAGTGAGGGATCATGGCCCTATCTTGGGGCACTGTAGCTGTGTCTCTGGCTTTTCAATGGGTTTGCAGCTACCTCCTTGGCCACTGTGGTGTTCTGTGTGATGTGTGATGTGTACAGACTCTCCTCTGTGACATCCAAGGAATAAAGCCCTTTGCTGTAAGCTGTCTGTGTTGGATGCCCCTCACATACAGTGTCATTGCAGCCCCACAATTGTGGAGCAGGTATCCACTCCTTTGGGAAAAGGGCAAGCATGAGCCATAAGGTACCTCACAGGGGAACCAGGGACACTCTGAGTCCCTGAGCTAGCCAGGTGGTAATGGCTGGTGGGGGGAGACTCCTCTACAGAGATTCTGGATGATGGACCTGGTACAATACATCTACCTGCCCCCATGGTAAATCAGGCTCAGGCCTCTGGGGCCCAGCTATCCGTTCTCCATCTCAACTCTGATCTCTCTGGCACCACCTTTAGTTCTCTGGCCTGGGTCGTGGTGGGGGGTGGAGGGCATGTGGGGAATGGGGCAAGAGGCACCCTCTGAGGAGACTATCAGGCACCTTCATTCATTTATCTCTTAGATGGGCATCAAAAGCATCTCTTCCTGTGACCACATCTGTGTTCTGTTGTCCCTGGATCCCTTCAGGTGCCCTGGGTTGGGGGTGCACCCTGCACCCTGTCTTTCCCAGCCACACTGATCCTGAAGCTTTATGGTTGTTGCAGGAGGAGGAGGAGGAGGCCCGGCTGGCCAGCCTGCCTGCCTGGAGGCGAGACCTCCTTCGGAAGAAGATGGAAGAGGAGAGGTGAGCTGGGGGTCAGGAGGAGGCTGACCTGGCTGTATGTCTTGACTGTCCTCTTCAGGTGGCAGAATCAACTAACAGTGTCTCTTTCTCCTTCCAGGGCGCAGAAGCGGTAAGTGCAGGGCTGGCCTGGACCTGACACCCTTTCCACCCAGTTACAGTAACTTAGTCTTTTGCCCCTTCATCCAACACATATGCTGTCACTCAGTTCTTGTAGCATGACTACTCTGCTTCTAATAACACCACTGGACCCCTTTCTCCCAGTAACTGCTCACCTGTCCCCCAAAGTCTAGCTCTCATGCTCTGATAACCTTGTTCCGAAATGAGCCAGTGCCCATCTTCCACTAACCCAGCCTTTCTACCCTACAGTTAGCCCAACCCCACGATCAATACCTTGATCATCTGCCCCAAGTAATCTAGCCCAGTGCTGTCCATTAGACATACAATTTGAACTCTACATGTAATTTAAATATTTCTAGTGCCCACATTGAGAAAATAAAAAGGCACAGGTGAAATTCATTTTAATAAAATTTAACCCAAAACATCAAAAAATATGTCAACATATAATCATTATGTCATTAATGAAGCGTTTTACACTCCCACTCATGCTTAGGGCCTAGCCTGTCAACAGAACAGATCACCCTTATGTCTCTCTGTATGTGGTACTGGAGAAGCACTACCACTGAGCCACTGAGCTACATCTCCAATCCCCTATCCCCATGCTCTAATAACCTATTCCTAATTCCCCAGCCTCTGCCTCTCAGTAATGGGGTGTCTAGATGCCCAGCCCCAACCTGCAATAATTCACTGAGGTCCTCGCCCCAGTCCTCTCCCCTTTAAACCCTGTAACTCCCCTCTTCACACAGTGCCACTCCTGACCCATCACCTTCCTTTTCAGTAACACCGCAGCCCATACTAACCCAACCACAGCCTCCCACTCATCCAGCTTCTCTGTGGCCCAATTACCCCATCTGCCCCCAGTCCAGTCCCTGTCCTTCATAGCCCACTCTTCCCACGCCCATCCTGGTGCCTGGTTCGCCCTAGTTTCTGGCCCCAGGCTTCACTGCGTTCTGCCCTCACCCCATCTGCAGAAAAGAGGAGGAACGGCAAAAGCAGGAGGAGATTCAGCGGGAGAAAGAGCAGTCGGAGAAGCTGCGGACACTGGGCTACGATGAGAGCAAGCTGGCGCCCTGGCAGCGACAGGTCATCCTGAAGAAGGGGGACATCCCTAAGTAATATTTCGCGGCCCCCTGCCCACAGCCTCCAGAGCTCCAAGAGGTGGGGGTCCCCCAGCCCCTGCCCTACTTGGCCTGACGGTGCGGAAGGTCTGGGAGCCGCGCGGCCCTCTTCTGCGCCAGAATCCTCCCTAACCCCCTTCCCTGGTCCCGCATCCCCAGCCCCGCCAACGCTGGAGCGCGCGCGCCGCCACAGTCGCCGGGAAAAAGTGCCCAAGCTGCTGACGCAAAAAGATGCTGCTTCTTTGCATGCCGACTTACATATATTTGCATGTTCGTTGAATGTCAACGTGTGCAGAGCTCTCCCCAGCCCCGTGGGTGGCGACTGTTTTCCTGCGGGGCGCGCGCTCAGATGCAGCCCCCTCCCCCGCACCCCGGAACGTGGGTCGCTGGCGCATCCTGGGCGGAGGCAGGCCCCGAGCTCGGGGAAGGGGTTTTCCTCTCTCCTCGACCCAGATCTGCGCCCGGCCCAGGCCGCATTTCTCATCACCCCTGAGGGTTTCCTCTCAGTCATTTGTTTACCAGAAACCGGTGAAAACTGCCTGTTGGGGCAGAGCTGGGGGCGGAGTTGCTGCTTCCAGGGGCCCCACCTCCCTCTAGTTAAGTCTGCGCCCCGTCCCCAGCCAGGCCCCTCGCTTCCCAGACCTTTTGGTGGAGTGAGTGGAGGGCGAGGAGCCCTGCACTTATGGCTCCAACTGCTCCCCGCCCCATCCTGCCACCTCGCTCGCCCATTAAAGCTCTCTCCACCGCCTGGGGCTCACATTTACTCTCACTCGACGAAGCCACGACTTTCGCTCCTTCACCGAATCAATGGGCCTGGGCGGACGTGGGAGGGGCAGGCTTGGGAGCGCAGAGCTGCACTGGTCTCCACCACGGGTCCCTGCACTTCGGACCCTGCTGGCAAGACTCCCAGCGCCTTTACACCCCGCGGAAACGGAGCCCAAGCCACACTTAACATTCCCAGCCCCAGAGAATTATCCAGAAGCTGCTTTTCTTCAGGGATTTAATACCAAGGCCCCAGCGAAACTCAGACCAAGTCTCTCCCGTCAGTCATTCATCCTTCTTCGCCTTAACCCGAGCTCTGCAGGTGAGCAGGGAGGAGGCTGGCTGGCGCTGCTTGCTACACAGGGCCGTGCCACCAGCTTAATAAGTGACATAAAATGTCTACACGCATAAGTAACTGTACTTAAGGCTTCTGCAAGGGTCACCAGAATGTCAAAGTGGCCGGTGGGCCCTGTGTCACGCTCCGCGCTGCAGGCGGCTGCGGAGATCCTCGGCGCAGCCATCCAGCCCCATGCGCTCTAGGGCCGCGAAGACTGCGCCCAGACCCGCGGGCTGCTGCTGGCGCCAGCGCTTGAGCATCTCATACTGCTGGTCCCGGAAGCGGCCAATTTCTACCTCCACCGCCTCAATCTCTGCCTCACGCAGGCCCAGAGTGCGCACAAACTCCTTCCAGCGCCGCGCTGGGACAGCGTCCATCACGTCATATAGTTGCGGGCCGGGCTGGAGCACTGCAGCCGGCGAGCCTGCAGAGGGTGCTGGGGAGAGCGGGGGTGCCAGAGGAGGGCCTGGGATGGAGCCAGAGAGAGCCAATGTGGAATAAAGGCTGTGGCCACGATGGGATCAGGGGCTTTCAGGCCTCTGCAGGAGGCTTGCTGGATCTCCCCCACCATCCCAGTCAGGGAACTGGAAGAGGTCAAGTCGTGAAACCCTAAATTCCCATCTTAGACTTAAGAAAATGGACTCAAGCCTAAGGCCACTGAGGTCTCTTACCAAGATCTCTACTGGGCAGCTGGTCCCAGGACTGTGGCACCTGCTGGCAGGGCACTTCCTGGATCTGAGGGCAGTCAGGGGTCCAGCTGTTGTCTACCAACTGGACGGTGCAGACCTTCCCACTGCTGCCAGGGGGCACCAGAAGGGTGTGGGCACTTTCAGAGGCTGAGAGTTGGGTGGCCTGGAAACCAAGAGAGAACCTACGTCAGTCCTGTCTGCCTGGAAATGCCCCATTACTGCAGTCTCTAGCCAGTAGTGGACACTCCTTGCCATAAGCAATGCTGCTTGCCCCAGAGCCCCTGACCTCTTGGTATGGCCCAGCAGAAGAGCTATTACCTCTACCTGGAATACCCTGCCCTGCTGCCATCTTCTGTTCCCCCAACTCCTTGCCCAGGTGTACTCCTCCAGACCCAGTAGATAGCCACTTGAGGGCCTCACCCACTGAAAACAACTCTCAGCACTTTGTGTGTGTGTGTGTGTGTGTGTGTGTGTGTGTGTGTGTGTGGTATCAAGGATTGAACCCAAGGGCGCTTAGCCACTGAGCCACATCCCCAGCCCTTTTTATATTTTATTTAGACACAGGGTCACTAAGTTGCTTAGGGCCTAAGTTGCTAGACTGGCTTTGAACTTGTGATCCTCCTGCCTCAGCCTCCCTAGCCACTGGGATTACAGGCGTGTGCCACTGTGCCCCACTCCCTCAGCATATTTGCCTATTAGTTCCATCTTGTGCTGGATGTTGTGCCCCTGATGCCTAATGCCAGAGATCAGGACATATCCTCCCAGTTCCAGAAAGCAAACTTCTTCCCAGTGTATACTGGGATGTGAAGCTTACCTGCAGTGGGGTCGGGGCCTCGGTCCCAACTTTTTCTGCTGACAGAGATACAGAAGATCTGGTCAGCAATCAGACAAGGTCCCTGGACCTGGGTGCTGGTCCAGCTCCTCTTGAGTTCCTCCCCTCCCCGTACATATTCCCTGCCTTAGTTTCTCTACAGGGTTGAGTTGCCTCGAGAACAACCATCCTGACCCCAGGCCCCTGGAAATTGTATTTGGGGGTGTGTGCTTTGTATGTGTGGACTTACCAGGAACCACTGGTTTGTGAGGCTGGCAGCGGTGGTAAGTATAGATCAGGGTGCCCCCAAGCAGGAACAGGACCACCAGGCCAGCCACAAGCACCTGTGCCCAGAACACTGAAAGAACAGCTGGTGGGTGCTGGGTGGTAGCCCCTTCCCAGCCACCCCTTGGCCCATCCCAGTTCTCCCACTTGCATACTCTGCCTCCAGCCACAAACAGCAGCACAGGGCTCAGGACAGCTCCCCAGGATGCTGCTCCTGTAAAGAGGGACTAGATGAGGAGGTACACACCAGCAGGGGCTACCAGGAGTGCCCCACAGCTTCCCAACCTGGAGACCTTGCCTTCACCAGCTTCTCTCCTGTGAGCCTCACTCTGCTCGAGAATTTCCCCAAAGTACTGCTGAAATGTAACTTGTGTCCTTAAAGCAATAACAATCACTACTGTTTTTTAAAACTCTAGACTAGATTAAGGGTCACTAGAATGTCAATTGCATAAGAACAGGGATTTTTGCCTCTTTGGTTCCCTGTGTAGTCCTGACACCTAGAATAATATCTGGGAACTAATAGATGCTCAGTAAAAAGACTTGGTGGATAAATGAAGGTGGCTTTCCCCTGATCACAACCCTGAGAAGAATCTACTGGCACCCCCTGATTAGATGGAAAACCTCAGATCAGAGAGGCTATTTCTGTGAATTTGCCCAAAAACTAGCAGCAAATCCTGAATTAAAGCCCAAGTTTTTGTTTTTGGGTACCAGGGATTGAACTCAGGGGCACTCAACCACTGAGCCTAGACCAGTTTTGTATTTTATTAGAGACAGGGTCTCACTGAGTTGCTTAGCACCTTGCTAAATTGCTGAGGCTGGCTTTGAACTTGAAATCCTTCTGCCTCCATCTCCCGAGCTGAACAGATCCATTCTTAATACTTGAATGGAAGAATTACCAAGAAAAATTCTGGCAGAAAGTGAAGATGTACCCCCTTATTTACCTGACATAAGGTGAACTTAGACTCATGTACTGTCCTGTTTGTCTAAAGTGGGAGCCAAGCTCCCCCCTCCCTGTCCCTTCCTATCTCTAAACTAGCAGCACCTGTCCCCAAAAGCCTCCACCCCACTACCCGTCTCCCTCCCCTCTGGCCCAGGACAGCTAGGAAGTTACGTGGGGCAGGACACGCAGCCATTGCCATATTCATAGAAGCCAGGCAGGCAGGGCCCACAGTCAGCATCTCTGCTGGAACCTGCAGTCCAAGAGATGGCATGGGTCAGCATGGGAGAGGAGGGGGCTAGAAGAAGGGGACATGGGGAAGAGAGCCCAGGAGGGGTACTCACAGGGCAGCTCTGTGTACAGGGCCTCACAGTCTGGGCAGCGGCGGCAGAGGAAGGGTGAATTTTCCCTACAAGGCTTGACGGAGCAGTCAATCAGCCAGCCAGGCTCACAGCCGCAGCGGGTGTCCGCCACTGCTGAACAGTTCTCCAAGGCCACCTGGAAGGCTGGCAGAGTGTAGGGAGATAGTGCAGGGATGGTCAGGGGCTCCTACAGAGAAGCCAGAGACCCCCAGAAAAAAGACAGGGCTAGGCCAAAGAGAAGGGTGTGGGCTATCCCCAAAGGGAGAGAATTTTGCCCAACTCAGCAGAACAGAGGCCAAAGCACATGGAGACAAGGTGACCAGGAAAAGAAAGGAGCAGAGGCATCCTGAGGGGGGATCAGGTTGGAGGGGTGTGGGGAGGGTGGGCACAGGGTCCTCACACCCAAAGGTTGGGTCCAAGCCAGCCATTTCCTTCAAAGACTACCCCCCACACACTGAGCACCAGACAGCCCTCACCCTCCTCATCACAGGCCTGGCAGCGGGTACACTGATCCTTAAAGTGGTTATCCCTGGCCAAGAAGGTGCCCTGGGGACAGGGAAGGCACGTGGAGTTCCCACAGGGCTCTGTGCAAGGGGCCTTCATGTAGTGCCCTGTGGGACCCAGACAGGGGTCAGTCAAGGCACGGCTCCGCACCTCCCAGCTTGCTCCAGTCACTCCCTCCCTCCCTGCTGTCTCCCTACTTCCCTCCCAGCCCACCCCCAGCTGCGGCCCAGCCCCCCACCTCATCCCAACCCCGCCAGACCCTCACCTGCCCCCAGAATACCCTCGTTTCCCTCTGCTGCCACTTACCCACAGGACAGCCCCTGCAACAGAAGGGACCATTCCTCTTCTGGAAGTCACGTGTGCAGTCACACCTGGGGCCAGGAAAGCTGCCCTGGACACCCAGCAGCAGCAGGAGGACAGCCTGGAGGATACATGCTACTGACCCCCGTGTGGCTGCACCATGAGGGGGCCCCTCCTTGCCCAGGCTCCTCCATGTCAGAGGTCCCAGCATTTGCCCTCGGAGCGGCCCACCTCTCAGGCGCCTGGGCAGAAGGGGTGCCCATGGGTGGCGGTGGGACCAGCTTCCTTCCCCCCCTCC